CGTTGCAGTCGAAGCTCTGTGATGTCGCCAGAGACTTCCTCTGCGCAAGATGGCACCGGCAACGGCAGGCCGACCAAGTTGGCCAGCAGTGGCATGAAGCCGCCGTCCGCAACCAGGCGCGAGTACCACATGGCTCCAGAATGGCTTCTCCATCAGTCATTGTACAGCGGGGCCAGCGTCAGAGGTCGTCAGCCTCCAGGCGCCGCCCTGCATCAGACAACACTGACCCGTCACCTCGCGGGCTCAGACAAGATCCGCCGGTGCGCCCGTCAACCAACCCCGAGCCAGTGCAGCCATTCAATCCATTTGTGACCTCCACAATGCTGCGGACGAACAGTGTTCCATGGCGCGTTTCGCCGGCCCAACCGGCTATTCTGGCGTCGGTCGCTAATATCTGGGCGGGTTTCCAAGAATTGACGCTCCAGAGTCTCACCCCGAGTGAAGAGGTCGACAGCATCCACTGTGTGTTCTGCCTGACCGAGGATGAAGACCATGCAAATGAGTGCGTGATCTTGCGCTGCCATCAGTGCCGAGCGCTCTCTCATCTATCTTGCGTGGAAGAGTGGTTGGAAAGGCGAGATACAGGCTTTAGCACCTCCTGCTGTGTGTGGTAAGTTTGGATGACCTTGTTTCTGCAACGACCAGGATACTGATGACTACAGTCGAAACGAAGGTGCCCTAGACGCCTTGATTCGCCCTTTACCAATACCCTCGTCGGATGCCGAAACACATTCCGTTTTGACAGCAAGTGGATCGTCTCCCGATGGAGAACCTGCCACCCTCGGGATCTTATCATCAAACGATCCTCAAAGTCAGCCGCGTCAGCGGWCAGTGGGATCCCCAGGTGTTTCAGTCGAAGAGAGTGGCCCCCGTCGATCAGCTAGACTAGCAGGGGCTCATCTACCGCGAGACCCTTCCACCTCTGCACCGCTTCGCCGGTCGGCACGACTGAATTCCACTCAGCGTATGTGATATAGGTTATAGGCGAGCTATGACGGAAAATGGGAAAAGCAAGTGAATCACACGCGAGTACACGTGACCTGGCACTCGGCATCGTGATCAGCAATGGTCATAGCCGTGATATAGAATTCTGAAGCAAACTTGACAGAAATGATATCCTGATTGTTAAACTCCAAAGTACAATGCGACCGTTTCTTCTTTGCAAGTGCTGGACACCATTACACCTTAGCCAATAGCTATTGACTGCTTCGCCAATTCCGAAAATGTCTTAGCTCGATACTGTATAGGTAGATAAAAGTTCTGTTTCCATCATGCCCAACGGCGGTGACTAAGGAAACGCAGACACGGATTCATCTCAGTGGGGCCGTGTCGCATAAGGCGGATATTGTTGGCAGGAAAACGCAACCAGCAGGCTGGCGAGAGACTGACAAACTCTTATGCTTGTTAAAATGACTCTGGAATCAATAAGTTGACCTTGGGAACCTCAAAAGCATTTCTAGGAGCTGTTTATCCCCTAGGAAATACGCTTTAGCTCCTGGGTCTATTTCTATTTCTAGGAAATTGAGATCTACCCCTGGGATCTTCACTCTACGTTCCTGGCTGAATACGAAACCGGCCCTGGGAATACATTGGCCAGATCTGGGAGCTGTGACGCCCCTGGGAGCTTACTTTAGGGTCCTAGAGTAAATACCTTGCCTTCTGAGGTCGCAGAAAGCCCTCACAAGACACCTTCACCAGACGTGCGCACAAATCTGCGTCATTCGATAACTCCTAGAAGGCCGCGCTATAGCCCCAGGAGCCGCGATTACGCCTCCAGGAATTAACCAAGTCGTCAACAGGAACGCGGCTTTGATTCCCCGAGGTTGGGGGTACTAGACCCCGGAAGCTATGTCGGGTTTCCTGGGGGCTACGTGGCTCCTAGAAGCTGCTTCTTTGCTCCCAGAACCACTTCAAAGCCCCCCGGGAGCAAAAGAACTCCCAGGGCCAAGACATGAGTTCCTAGCACTGATAGAAACGTCAATAGGAACGTGACTGGTTTCATTATAGTGACAGTGAATAGTCTTACAAGCTACAAAGGAATGCCGTGCTATCGATTCTAGCTTCACGCCACGGCCTAGTGCTTTTTGAGTTTCACATAGCGGTGGCTCCGAATGGTGTTGGTTCTGAATGCTCAACGTTTAGTATCCACCATGCAACACAAATACATCCCTTGGGATGTTGGAGGATCCCAACGACTCATAGGATATTTATCCCACTGGTTCTCATCAGATAGTAATGCAATTTCCGGATTCTTAGAGCTCCCGGGAGCCACTCAGCTGATTGGAGAACCTCGTAGGCACAGCTGGATGGACATAAACGATCCTCAATGTATACTGTTCATGGGCTATGGCTAAGACTGATTTACTTGCAATTCCATCATCTTCATTTCTTGGCCCGAGTAGGGGAATATTGCTTGTCCAAGAGGGATAGACAAGCAGGAAACAATCGCGTACCTAGTAAGACATGCTGGCCTGGCAGTTGGTCACTCTATCTCTTGCCACAGTGGGCAAGTCCCTAGAGCTGCATACCTCCTAGGGGCCAACAATATGCTCAAGAGGATATCCCTTCATCCTTCATTTTACCGTAGTCAGCTCACTCCGAGCCTTATTTTAAACGTTAATGAACGGGAATGGACCGATCCAGAGACATGAAAAATGTGGTATATCTTTGGAAGGACGCAGCATTGCGGCTCTCCTGAATTTGAACTAGACTCAACCCAAACATACCATGCCATTTAAACACATAAGTAGGGGATTTTATGGGTGGGTGTTTCCACTGACTCTGGTCCTAGGACCGATAGCATACATACATACGTGTTCCACCTGGAGTATATATATTGGACTCACACCCGAGAAAAATGAGGCAACCACACTCCAATTTGCTACATTCACATCGTTTGATAGCAATGGATTGCAAAGATTCCTTACTCTGGGCTAAATATGGTTTGTATGTCCCTGTGTGATCAATATGCCTTGCTGACAGCAATTAGATTGGAAACATGCGGAGCATTTTTTCCTTGCTTTTGAAACACAGTCATTGTTGAAAAAGCTGAGAGAAAATCGTCGTATCATCAAAGCGATGGTGATCTCGAAACATCTACACATGTCGTCTCACGCCCTTGGTAATAAGAAGGCACTTTACAAAGATGCTTCTTGCCGGGCCAAAGCCTTCCGACATCAGGTCAAGAATGGGCTTTTATCTACAGCAGAGGTGGAAGAGAAAAGATAAGTTGTCTTTAGTCTTTATGCTCATGCTATGAATGACCTTGAAAGTTGGACCGGTAAGGGTTGCAGACTGTTAGTAACGCAACATTCGGAGACTAACTTTTTGCAGAGTACCGGTTTCCATTCTATTGGACATGAGCATAGATTACAGTCAACGACAGAGCCGCCATACCGTGTTTTCAAAACACCCACGAATGACAGCTGTGTTATCGTCAAATAGCAAGCAAAGGAGAGGCATCGAGCATCCCGTGCCATTCGCTTTCCTACTTCAACAAGTATGATTAGCTGATCAGAATGCTTTTTTGCTTCTGTTTATTTTACACTGTCTCGTTCTTCTAATATAGAGTAATCAGCATGTAAGGGGTGGAGGATACTTTGCAGTCTCAACTATATGTAAGTTACATGTACGTTTCCTCTCTTGGCAGTTCACATGGGCCATGATTCATTGAGGATGATATCTACGAATTGGAGTAAAAGGAACATCCGGGGTTTCGGATAGTACTTCCTGTTGATGGGCAATTCTTGTTGACTAGTTTAGAGGCGTTCTTAAGACTACTTGCATAGACTGCTCCCTAGGAATCGTTCGTTTAAGTAGATGGCGAAGACTCTAGTGATGTACCATAGAAAGCCCGGCCGTATTACGGTCTGCTTCCAGAGCTCTAATCATCGTCTATGCAGTATGGGGAGACCGGTCTCTTAGCGAATGGGTGCTATAAGCGTAATTTACGGTGGCTTCGGCGCCGATCCTAGGAAATCTGGTCATATAGTATGCCCAGGTGGAGCTTTCACTGTATGCGGCGCGAGACTGATCTCCACTTAGCCAAAGTGCATGCTAATGGTTGGTATTTCTTTTTATCTCGATTTCCTCTTTTGATTTTCACTTTTTTCTTTTGAGTTCTCTTTTCACTGGGCTTCAGAGATATCCTCCTCCCTGCAACGAAATCTTAGAGCCATGTTGTCTCAGGCACGGTCAAGGATCCCGTTACCAGTTGCTTGAAATTGATTCTCCTTTTATTATTCATTCTGCCCTGGTTATATATAAATTGAAGAAAACTGCAATAGGTTTGGGGCCGGATGCGAATTCATAGGAGCACCGGCCGGCCATATTGGACGTTGGATTCCATTGTGACGTGGCTTGATAGGCAAGTTAATTGGGGTTCCTTACTAAACGTGTAGCCCTGATAAAGTCTACATTCCTCTACGCAGTACTATTTTAAGCAGTATGCCTTGGCGTCATTTCCACAGTCCCGTCGTCTTGTCCCATTGAAATGCCAGATTATCCAGATGCAACAAAATGTATCAGAATCAAGATGAATAGCACAGATCCAAAGGCGGCCTGGCCAACAGCTCCATAGTACATGACGATGTAGTATTGAAACAAACCATCTCTGCCAATAAACTCAAATGAGGATCGAAGGCCGTTAATGCGGCCGGCAGCATAACCTCCTAAGGAGATAACAGGTAAGCTCAGGAGGAATGTCATGCAGCCATAGCAGATTCGAGCCTTGCAATCCTCTCGCAGCCATCTTGGGTGAACCAAAAGAAGTATACCGAAAATGGAAAGCACTGCTGAGATGAGGGCCGTGATAACCATGCTAACGACAATGTTGCTCATGAGCTTCTGGAATGTGATGTCTAGCATAAAATTGTTGGCGTTGACGAGGTCAGGCTTTGCACGGTTTCGCAGGACGTCCGCGAGATGTGCAGAAGCTGAGCTGAGAGTGGCAAGTCCCAGCCAGATGATTGTAAGAAAAGAGACGACCAGTCGCATTCGGATCATGCCATTAGTGAAGAAAGAAGTCATTGTTCACAGAAATGGTTTCTCGATTTCAAAAAGGTGAGCTGGGTCTTGTTCAGACAAGTTCTTGTATAATGAGAGAGTGGAAGCAGAACATGAAGTGGTCAATAACTCCGGACACAGTCTATTTATACTTTCCAGTATGTGTTGTGTGCTCCGTGTACACAAAGCTTGCCTGTTCAATAAAAGACATAGCCAATCCTGAGCTGCGCCAAACGCCCTTTGTATTGCCCGCTGCCTAGGTGACAATCTGCATGAGTTCCTCCGCGATATACGTTCTTCGACTTAGATTCCTACCCCTTTTTGGCCGGCGGCTTCGCAGAAGGTTTTCGGCCTCTGGAATAAAAGGTAGCTCCTAGTATCACCCGTGAATTCTGTCAGGGATATACACGAAGCATACAGGTAAAATGGAGATATGATCTGCATGACCCACGTGGTGCATCTGGATTGCCCGGAACGGGAGGAAGCCTCTCTCTTTTAGTCCTTTTTTTAAACCCGAGATCCACCACGCTTGATCCATGAGTAGGAGTACTCACATAGTAAGGGTCCGGGTAACCAAGTCTCGCTTCCCAGGAGCCTAAACCGCTCCTGGAGTTCTGCTAATAATTTCATACCGTACAAGAACCAATGTCATCCTGCATTCTGAGTCCAGACATATTGCCACAAGATGTATCTTCTGATACATATAAGATAGTCAAGAATTCTCTTCATCTCTCAGATTTCTATTCAAGTCACACAACAGGCCAATTCTACACGAAACAAGCCGTAGTCAGCTCCTCTTAACCCCAACATTTCAATGTGAGTATGCCCGCCTCCACTATTTACTACACGACTTGGTACATGAGTTAATACTAACGTAACGGATAGATGTTTCTCCTGAATCTTCCTGTTGAAATGCTTCTTTGCATAGCGGACAGCCTGGATCAAGCCAGAGATTTGTTTGCACTGGCTTGTCTCAATCATGCAGCAAATGACCTTTTCGTCGACTATCTGTACACGTTCAACGTCCGACACCAACGCAGCTCTGCCTTGTTCTAGGGAGTCCGCCGAGGCAAATCGAAATTTGTAAAAATGATGTTAGACGACTACGGAGCGGACGCCAACACAACGGAACATAGATCTCGCACACAAATTTTTCATGCAATGCGCACTAAGAACGAGACAATTATTCGCACGCTTCTTCTCAACAAGAGAGCGGATATCAATTGGCAAGATCAACGCAGGCAGACCCCACTGGTATATGCCATTGAAAGGAATCTTCTGTCTACTGCATCACTTTTACTGGATTTTAATCCATGTCTGAATATAACGGATGACAAGAACCGGTCTGCTATTTGGTACGCCATCGCGTTCTGCGATGAGAACCTGGTGCAAGTCCTTCTGGAACGGGGTAGCGATATACGAACGCCAGATTACAAACGATTTTCGCCATTCAGCCTTGCTATTGCCAAGAAAACCCCGAGAATTACCCGGCTGTTACTCCTACATTCAGATCCCAATTCAAGAAAGACCCTATTGGAGGATGTCACTATCAGAAACCGTCTGCTCCGTCAGGCTGTACAGGCAAGCCTTCATGATCTCATCGCGCTACTCGTTGCCCATTTTGCAGATCCCAATTCTAGAAATAGAGATGGTCAGAGACTGTTGCATCAAGCCACGAAAAAGGGTGACAGGGAGGTAGTCCAACAATTGCTCGCCTATGAAGAGATTTCCATCAATGCAAGGGACAGACGGTCCTGCACTCCTCTCCACATCGCAGCAGAGCATGGATGCACGTCGGTAGCCAAGTGTCTGCTGGCCAAATGCGGTACAGATTCCAACGCAAGAGACAGTTACGGTCGCACCGCCTTCCACCTCGCAGCAGAATATGGCAATAAGTCGATCACAGGGCTTCTTTTAGCCTATGGTGCTGTGGATATCAATGCTCCAGATGCTATTGGAGCAACTTAGCTGCATATGCAAAACACACTGCTATTGTCCTACAGATTCTCGCAGAATATCATGTAGACGTCAATGTGGCCGGTCAAACTGGCAGGACAGCTCTTCATCATGCGGCGAGCACGGGAAACATACCGATCACATGTGTCCTTATCGCCAATGAAGATCTCAATCACAACGTTCGCGACGATCATGAATGCGCCCCCCCCCAACCTACGCTGCTTCCAATGGTGGTTTACGCATGGTGGAACTCTTCCTCGCAAGGGAAGACATACAAGTGAACGTGCAACAGGCGCCTCCACTGTTCCATGCTGCCAAAAAGGGCCATGTGCAAGTTGTACGCCGATTACTTTGCTTTGATACCATCGACATCAATCAGCAATTTTGGAACAGCTCACCCCTCTGTTTTGCCTCCGAGATGGGCCACCCGGAGGTTACAAGGCTACTCATTGAACACACAACCCCCCCCCGACCTCAATCTCAGAAATTATATGGGAGACACTGCACTTTCCTTGGCCGCGTACCATGGTCATTTGGCTATTATAAATTTCTTCCTGGAGGAAAATAGACTGGATGCTACCGCTACTGATAAATTCGGGGACACGGCGTTATGCAAAGCAGCTCGGAATGGACACGAACAGGTTGTCAAGCGTCTCTACAGGGACACTCGTGCAAAATGTGCTAGTGATGTGAAAAGGGCCATTGAAGCAGCTTCCAACTGTAGAATTGCGCTCTACCTTAAAAGGTCACTTGGATGAGGAGGGCAACCTTTGCACTTGGCCTTGAACTACAGGTAGGCTGTGATTGCTTTGTTGGATTCATCTTTCAGCGTCTGGGCTCCAACAAATCATGTAATTCACGCACATCTCCCCTAAATATGGTTATCAACGCGCCCGACAATATTTCCATCTCTTCGTTGTCTTACTTCTACAAGAGTAGCTCGCTTGTACCTATAAACACCCTCCAATGTGCAGATTTGGGTCAAATCATCTCCTCAAATTACGCTATCGGTAAATCAGGGTTATTGCACAGGTGGTGATAGCTTAAGGGTAGAGTGGCATGACAGGCGGTACTTTCTTTGATAGTGAGTTAACTCGCAGAATAATTTGACTTTCTAAATGGAAATTGTAGGCACAACTGGTGGGTGATCAAACATTGACTTGCTCACAGATGAAGTGATCAGAAAAAGACATGTGAGCTTGTTATTGCGGATTGAACATTTCCCTCAAAACCTCTATTTAAGAGGGCCGTGAAGGATTCAACAGTCCGCCAACGTTCCTTGAGCGACTCAGCATCCATGTTCTTTGAGGCTCTGGCTAATTCCTCTTCCTCTACTTCATAAAGCATCAAACATTTGCAGAGGAAAAATGGCTTTAAGCAGCCCTCAATAGGAATAGATTCCCTTCAACATTTCTTACCCAGCTTGCAAGTGACAGAAGCCGAGAAGCCTATAAGTACGTACTCTACCCTCGGTAATTTGCTCTACGATCAATTTACTTGGCTCTGTAAAGTTGCAAGCAAGCACGACTACGACTGTTTCATTCGAAATGAGTGGAGACCACTGTCTCAAGAGCTGGGCACGCCTTGGCTTGAATCCACTCCGTCTTCCTTGCACATAGGATTCCACTCAGTATTCTCTCTGTCCTCTCGATTGCTATTGAGTAGTTCCTTTTCTAACCCGCATTAGGTTAGATCACGAGATTCTCAGCTTCTATAACTGGGCCAAGCCACAGGAAATTGAAAACATTTTCCGCAGAGATCTCCTCGAACAATTGAATACTGCATTCCAAAGTCGATACGCTGGCATTGAAACCATGCCTTTGGCTCTTTTGCCTCTGGTATCTATCTGCCTACTGCCGATATTGACCTTGTGCTACTGTACTGTCAGACACGTTCAGGCGCACAGGAGTGCGTTCATTTGGCGAAAGGAAAGGACATATATGGCCAGGTAGGACGACAAGCGCGTCGATGGCGTGCCGCCAGAATCAAACGCCCCAGGCCTGATCTCAAGAATCTTCCCAGCTCCCTAGTGTCAAACAGGCTCTTTGGCATGCCGGATATCGTACCAATGGGAAAATGAAACATGACTTGAACTTGAGAGAACGGAGATAAGGCGCCGCCTAAGTGGCTCTTTTTAGCTTCGGACCGACGCCCGCAACGACTTTCTTTTGACTTTTCTTTACATGATTATTTGTACGATGATGCCCCTATTTGGAATTGGGCGGGTATTTGTGATTTGCATGTGAAACAGGAGACATGCTCTCCGCGGTGGTTTCGTGGGGTCAATTGTATCTATTCCGGTGCTTCGCCATTGTGCCAACTTCTCAACGATGAGAAGTGATTGACCAATGCAATCTGGAACATAGGCTTTCTTTGAGCCCGAGAAGACAAGTTGCCCATGTATTTCTAAGATACTCCGGCCACTTCCTCACTCATTTACCCGTGTCTAGATGCTGGCTTGCCTAATGAATGGTTGATTCGCCTCGTGCATATCAACATTTTGGAAGCATATTATTCTTTCTTCTTCCGTTGATACCTTAATCCACTCAGTATACGCTATATACAGTTTCTGAGAGAGGGCTCGAGGATCAGGTGCTGTGTTAAAGCAAGGTACGTATATCCAGTGGGCATTTGGAGGGCTTTCATCGACATGATTTGAGGTTCGTGGTAGGGTCAGGGGGTTTAGCCTGGCACGCAGTTTCCCCACTAGTCTGAAAGTAAGAGATCCTCAAAACAGGTAGATATATCTCTGTCTGTTTTGTAATCTGGGGACCTGTGAATTGCCTGTTCGAATTAGTTTTGCCCTTTTAGGTTTAGCGCCCTAATACGCTATTTTGTGACCTCTCCCGACGTCGCCTCGACATAAAAGACCCGACCTCACCCTTTCGGCCTCTCCCTGGAACCCATCTATCTTGCACTCATCGCCGCCCCCTTTCTTTCCTCTCGCCCCCACCGACCATTGCGCCTTGTTACTGCCCGACGCACTGTCCTTTTCATTTTATTGGAGATGTCGCTCGATCCGAGCCCCAGCTTGTTCTCGCTCCTCGGGCTGGAATGGTAATTGCACAGGAGCAGAACCACCGGAATGATCCAGCCCGCAGCGGCATCGTGTGGCTTCAGTTCGATACTCCTACTCCTTCCCCAAAGGAGTGACTGTGTACCATGCTGCGAAGCCATCTAGGTTTTCCTCTGCCAGTGAGCCTTGTTCGTCTCTGATACCGCCGGCCTCCTTCACTTCTGTAAAGCGCCGGTGTACCCTCCGCGCCGCATGCCCAGCTCCGTCCGCTCTATCCGAAGTTAAATTGCACAGTCCCGGCGTCACAGATGGCTCTCGGTTGCCTGGCCACGAATATGAGCCAGTTGTCGTCATCGTCGGTCTCTCCGGTTCCCTCTACACCAATCGATAAATATTCGAAAGTACAGCCCAGTGATATAGGCCAATAGCGAAAATACCGCACACGCCCCTAACCTCGGTCGGTGCTGCATCTTGCGGCCAATGCTAGACAGCGACTGCGAAACTATATCATGATCATACCATCACTTCCCTAATGGAGAAACGGCTTAGAATGGGCCGGTGACTAGTGTGGGCATGCATCGCAAGGGTCATCAGCGAGCGCAGCGGGAATCCTTGCCAGTGAACCATAGCCCGTGGTTGTTGCCTGTGAAACTGGCATGGTCTGGCTTCCTTGGATGCAATGGCCTGGATTGCAAGATCTGGTTGAGATCGTCTGCGCTTGGTAGAAGAAGGATTTTAATTGTATCGCACATTCCGATCGTTCGGGGCACAACCTCAGGAAGCGATTTGAGAAAATCCAATATCCATTGAGCGTGCCTGGATGGCCAACTTCTGAATTAGGGTGATTTATTTCGCGCTGGTAAGGAAGGCGGCTGATTATGTTAACCACACATGATATTTCTAAAGTATCGAATTGCGCATTTAACAGGCCCCAGAGTAAAGCAGCGGATAACTAGACGTTGGACTCGGCCTCGAAAGCAGAGTCGTCTAAGCACAACATACAATCTGATATATCAATATCACCATCAACTACAGCAGAAGATGTTCGAGTATCAGTCAATCCACAAAGTGTGCCACAGTGTAGGCTGACAAGCTCCACTCAATGTTTTGTTCGAGTCTAAGGGCTACATAAGGCGTCTATTTCGATTCTTTGACGCAACCTCATAAGTTCTGACAAATCCACTCGTCCTGTGCTAGTTTCCTAGCGGAACTTCGCATGCCTGGCTCCCACTGCAACATCTTCCTTATTAGATTCAAAAACTTTAGTTTCTCCTCTCCTTCGAGAGTACTTTCTCTCTGCTCTAGCGAGCTCCGAGCTCTTGATGGGATTTCAGCACAGAAGTCACCTAGAAAACCAGGTAAAGTGAGCGGGTTTCAGATTTAATTCAAAAAAAAAAAAAAAGGGAAAAAAAGACTAAGCAATTTCCTACCTTCACTAGAGAAGAACTTGTGGCTTGACTTCCCTTGGGCAAGCAGACTGAGTGGAGGGGGCCCGAGGAGACTTATCATCTCGCTGAGATGAGCTCGACTTCGGTAAGTCTGAAATTCCGCGTCGTACCCAGTGAACAATGACTCGCTTTCAAACACGTCCCAAATCTGTGATTTGAGGTCTTAGAAATATCGTACCTGTATCATCAGACCGATTTTCTTACCATACATCCCACATTCCATATATCAACACTATAAGTCCATGGGGCTTCCAGTATCACCTCCGGGGCTCGATAGATATTAGGCTGGATGTCTTCGAAATGCTCTATGCCTCCAGGCATAGCAGAGCCAAAGTCGCATAAGACGGGGGCTCCCCATTTCCTGGGCATCCTGAGTTCCCGGGATACGTAGATTATTCTTCCATCTAGTTCCTTCCTTGGGGAGGGAGTTTCAAGCTCCCTTCCTTCAAACTCAGAGAAGACTGAGTCATCCGCGATGCCGAACATAATGTTGTCTGCTTTAATATCTAACAGAATGATCGTGTCAGTTAATACAAGAAGTAGATAAC